CAGATCGAGTTTTATTTTATTCCAGATTTTTTATTCACAAAGTTGAGGAAACATTGTTTGTTCAGACTCGGAGAGTTTGGTGCCATAAACTCTGTGGCGGCTCATGAAAATGAGAAACAGTTGTGAATATTTGGGAAATGCTAATTAAAGCTTAATTTTCTGCTAACCGTTAACAGACCCAACATTTCCCAACTCCAGGAATTCAGCTCATAAAGCGCAGCGGTGTTCCGCCTCTCCAGCATCACCCAGACGTCTTCCCTTCACAAACCACCGGCAGAAAGAAAACATCCGTCCTACTGGGAATCCGGACGACTCAGGAAAAATGCTGCTGAGTCAGAGCCACTTCAGTTAGAAGCTTTAACATGCAGCCATAGTTAGAAAGGTGATGATGGTGATGATGATGATGATGATGATGATGATGGTGATGATGATGGTGGTGATGATAATGATGGTGATGATGATGATGGTGATGATAATGATGATAATGATGGTGATGATAATGATGATGATGGTGATGATAATGATGGTGATGACGATAATAATGATGATGATGATGGTGATGATAATGATGGTGATGATGATAATGATGATGATGATGATGGTGATCATGGTGATGATAATGATGGTGATGATAATGATGGTGATGACGATAATAATGATGATGATGATGGTGATGATAATGATGGTGATGATGATAATGATGATGATGGTGATCATGGTGATGATAATGATGGTGATGATAATGATGGTGATGATGATGATGATGATGATGATGGTGATGATGATAATGATGATGATGGTGATCATTGTGATGATAATGATGGTGATGATAATGATGATGATGGTGATGATGGTGATGATGATGGTGACGATAATGATGGTGATGATAATGATGGTGATGATAATGATGGTGATGATGGTGATGATAATGATGGTGATGATAATGATGATGATGATGGTGATGATGATAATGATGATGATGGTGATGATGATGGTGATGATGATGGTGACGATAATGATGGTGATGATAATGATGGTGATGATGGTGATGATGATAATGATGATGATGATGATGATGATGGTGGTGATGATGGTGATAATGGTGATGATAATGATGGTGATGATAATGATGATGATGATGGTGGTGGTGATAATGATGGTGATGATAATGATCTGATGATGATAATGATGATGATGATGATGGTGATGATGATGGTGGTGGTGATAATGATGGTGATGATGATAATGATCTGATGATGATAATGATGGTGATGATAATGATGATGATGATGGTGGTGGTGATAATGATGGTGATGATAATGATGATGATGGTGATGATAATGATGGTGATGATAATGATGGTGATGATAATGATGATGATGGTGATCATGGTGATGATAATGATGGTGATGATAATGATGGTGATGATGATGATGATGATGGTGATGATAATGATGATGATGGTGATGATAATGATGGTGATGATAATGATGGTGATGATGGTGATGATGATAATGATGATGATGGTGATGATGGTGATAATGGTGATGATAATGATGGTGATGATAATGATGATGATGATGGTGGTGGTGATAATGATGGTGATGATAATGATGGTGATGATGATAATGATGATGATGATGATGGTGATAATGGTGATGATGATAATGATGATGATGATGGTGGTGGTGATAATGATGGTGATGATAATGATGGTGATGATAATGATGATGATGGTGATGATAATGATGGTGATGATAATGATGGTGATGATAATGATGGTGATGACGATAATGATGATGATGATGATGGTGATCATGGTGATGATAATGATGGTGATGATGATGATGATGATGGTGATGATGATAATGATGATGATGATAATGATGGTGATGATAATGATGATGATGGTGATGATAATGATGGTGATGACGATAATAATGATGATGATGATGGTGATGATAATGATGGTGATGATGATAATGATGATGATGGTGATCATGGTGATGATAATGATGGTGATGATAATGATGGTGATGACGATAATAATGATGATGATGATGGTGATGATAATGATGGTGATGATGATAATGATGATGATGGTGATCATGGTGATGATAATGATGGTGATGATAATGATGGTGATGATGATGATGATGATGATGATAATGATGGTGATGATGATAATGATGATGATGGTGATCATTGTGATGATAATGATGGTGATGATAATGATGGTGATGATGATGATGATGATGGTGATGATAATGATGGTGATGATGATGATGGTGATAATGATGGTGATAATGATGATGATGATAATGATGGTGATGATGATAATGATGATGATGGTGGTGATAATGGTGATGATGGTGATGATAATGATGGTGATGATAATGATGATGATGATGGTGATGATAATGATGGTGATGATGATAATGATGGTGATGATGATGATGATGGTGATGATGGTGATGATAATGATGGTGATGATGATGATGGTGATGATAATGATGGTGATGATGGTGATGATAATGATGGTGATGATGATGATGGTGATGATAATGATGGTGATAATGATGATAATGATGGTGATGATGATAATGATGATGATGGTGGTGATAATGGTGATGATAATGATGGTGATGATAATGATGATGGTGATGATAATGATGGTGATGATGATGGTGATGATAATGATGGTGATGATGATGGTGATGATGATAATGATGATGATGATGATGATGATGGTGATGATAATGGTGGAGCCAGGCTGCCCCCTGCTGGCGGAGCTGAGAACTTAGAGCAAGAAGCTCAAACAGACTCATATTCCTGCAGTTATTGGAGGTCAGATGATGAAGGTCGTTGTTGGAGAACCTGCTGCTGTTCTGATGGATCGGCGTTGCCATGGTGATGAACCTGGGCTGGGACTCACCTGGACCTCCATTCGGGTTGTCAAACAGATCCAGTTTAGAAAGAACCTGATCAAGTTTTCAAGCCCTGATCTTTAACCCTTTAACAAGCACACCAATGATGAAAAAATAAAATAAATTTTTCTTTGTATTTCTTTTACCCTTGGGTGACTCATAAACACAATCAATATTTTTTTTTTCAACAGACCCTGTGGTTTTTAAAATATTGATCTCTACCAAACGGTTGAGATGTCACTTAAAGGTTTAAGTACATGATGTAATAAAAATACCTAGTACAGTAGATAAAATAAAATAAAATGCAAATTTATAAAGAAATTAACAACAACAAAATGTCTGGGGCATTGGATACAGTTTATGTTTGTCAAAATGCTACACAACACTGGTTTTAATTTCAACCAAGGAAAACATGCATCAAACAAGAAAATATTGCATTTTTAGTTTTCCCATCTTGATTGTATCTGTACTGAAGTGCAACAGTTTTTCAGTGTTTCACCGTTAAAAAGGGCATGATCCCATAGGCTTTGTTTTGAGCAGAATTTTAAATGTACAACAGAAATAAACTTTGACTTGACTTTTGCATTTATTTATTGTTTTGTTTTCTATGTTTATCTGCAAGCAGCTTTCAGCATCTATGCACCACAAATCTGGAACAAACTTCCAGAAAACTGTAAAACAGCAGAAACCCTGACTTCCTTTAAATCTCCACTAAAAACACACCTGATTAGAGTTTTATTTGAAATGTAATATGTAACAATGTATTGTTTTTTCCATGACTTTGTATTTATGATGTAAAGCACTTTGAAATGCCTTGCTGCTGAAATGAGCTACACTAATAAAAATTGATTGATTTTGTTGTTTGTACTTTTTGTATTTATTTATTCTTCTATTCATGTTAGATTCTATTGTTTCCTCCGTTCATCCTGTGGGTCTGATGTTTGGTAACTTGGAGCCATTTTCATCATTTGCAGTAAATTTATTTTCAGCAGTGAAACCCTGGTTCTGGTTCTGAAACCCTGGTTCTGGTTCTGAAACCCTCTGGTTCTGAAACCCTCTGATTCTGAAACCCCCTGGTTCTGAAACCTTGGTTCTGGTTCTGAAACCCTGGTTCTGGTTCTGAAACCTTGGTTCTGGTTCTGAAACCCTCTGGTTCTGAAACCCTCTGATTCTGAAACCCCCTGGTTCTGAAACCTTGGTTCTGGTTCTGAAACCCTGGTTCTGGTTCTGAAACCCTCTGGTTCTGAAACCCCCTGGTTCTGAAACCCCCTGGTTCTGGTTCTGAAACCCTGGTTCTGGTTCTGAAACCCTGGTTCTGGTTCTGAAACCCTCTGGTTCTGAAACCCCCTGGTTCTGAAACCCCCTGGTTCTGGTTCTGAAACCTTGGTTCTGGTTCTGAAACCCTGGTTCTGGTTCTGAAACCCTGGTTCTGGTTCTGAAACCTTGGTTCTGGTTCTGAAACCCTGGTTCTGGTTCTGAAACCCTGGTTCTGGTTCTGAAACCCCCTGGTTCTGGTTCTGAAACCCAACATGTTGAAATTGGACTGACAAAGAAAAACGAATGTGTCTGGAGCCTCAAAATATGAAAAGTTTTATGTCAGACTTCAAATGTTTCTATTTTAAAATGACTATAACATGATTAATATTCATGATCAAACGTTCATTCCTGGATGGAATCACGTGACTCTGTTGAACGAAGGCGCTTTCAGGTGACTTCTTGTTATAATATAAATGTTTAAGTTTCGTTCCATTGATAAAATTAAAGAAAAAGGATTTTTGATGTCAATTTTATAATCGACAGAAAATGATGTTTTTTTTCCTGTTGCTCCAAATGCATTTTGCACGATTGTTTGTAAATAATCACGTTAAGTTGTGATGACCAGCATGGAAACGAAACGGATCAGAACGGAACAGATTGGATCGGAACGGATTGGAACGAAATGGATAAGGTGAAGAAGTTGGTCAAAGGAGCAACGTATGACGTACCAAACACACAATGGGCCTTAAAAAGCTCATCAAGACTCCAACTGAACATGTTGCCTTACCTGGAACAGCATCGTAGCCAATCACAATGAAGAAAGCATGAACTCTGCTCTGGATGGATCCCAGGGAGAGCAGGCAGGGCTGAGTACGTTACACACTGGATCCAACATACATTTAAAACATAAATAAAAACATGACAAAAATATTTAGTGACTAATTTTTGAGTGAAAATCAGACAGAATCAAATTTTGAATTGTAAAAATAAAGAGAATGAATTTTGCATTTTTATCTTTAAACGACTGTTTAGCAGTACCTGTAGAAATCTGATGAGCTGCTTGAGATGCAGACGCCTCTACATCCTTGTGCAGAAGATGCAGCAGAAGCAAAACAGCAGACATGTCACTTTCCCAACCTGCAGACCAACAACTTCAGGTTACCATCATCCCAACATCTGAATTTGTCACATTTAGGTCCAACATACCATTGTCAGCTTCAGCAGCCAGATCTGCAATCTGCAATAAATCCAAGAGCTCCATGGTGGGACCAGGCCACAGCTTTCCTTTATAACCTTGGAGTCCAAAAATTGGTTCGCTGTGGCTTCGCCAAACAAGAGTCTGAAATCTTGTTCTATCTGAAATACAGAAATAAAAGCATTTCACACAGTGAGGAAGACGGTAAATGGCCTGTACTTGTGCAGCGCTTTATGAAGTCCAGAGTGAGTCATTCACATGCTGATGGCCGTAAGATACATTGTAGCTACAGTTGCACAAGGGACGACTGCTGCCAATGCTGCTGTGAAGTAAAAATTGTGTTATTATATCTTTTAAGGATTTTATTTAAATTCTTTAGTCATTTAACGTTAGTATTGTTCAGTCTGTTAAAACATGGAGGTCAAGGAGTCTCTGAAGGATCAGGTTTCCTTTTCACCTCTCCTTGGAAACGTTCCAGCTGTCAGTGACTAAAATAAGGCGCCAAAGTTTGTTAACAGATAATAACAGATAGTTTAGGTAAAAACAGTAAGATGGAATAAGGTCTAATACATTTCTCCATTGAATGTTAGAAGCTCAGAGAACGTTCTATCAGGTGTTTTTGGTATGGAAAATTGTCTGATGTAGATTTCCACTGCAGAGTCCTGGATCTGGGAACCAGAGGAAAATTAGCGATCAAAGTTTAGTTATTCCTCTAGTTTTAACCATGGAGGTTTGTAACCTCTAACTGAGCCATGGGGCCAAAACCATTTGCTAATGGAGCAGATAGCAGCGTGATAGTTACCAACATATTTAATGGATAACAGAAACTAGAATATCGTTCTTCATCATAATTAATATTAATACGTCACCAACACCGGACCGTTAAAAGTTACTTCACTTTTCTGTTACGCAACTCCGATCAGAATCCCGAATAGAAAAACTGCTGCTGTGTCTTCCTCCTCCTCTTCCTCCTCTTCCTCCTCTTCCTCCTTCTCTTACTTTTCCTCCTCTTCCTCATTTGACAACTTCTGGCTGCAGAGCAAACCTTTCGCGTTGGCAATCAATGCAAATGATTCGGTCCAATAGTTGTAGAATCTCCCCCTTCACCCTCCATGGCCCACCAAATACCCCTCGGGTTGGTTACAGCCTGCTTCGCGCCCACCCAGCTGGAAGAAACTGTGACGCAAATCTTTAACGGAAAAGTTGAAATTTTATAATTATTCTACACATTTTAATAGCCTTGGAAACCGTTAAGAATGATTGTGTCATGTTTGTCCTCTTACAGAAACCATCTTTCTCAATTGTCAAGCATATTTTAAAAAAGTTCCAGGGAGCCTCCTGGGTCCCCGGTATCCCCGGTGTCCCCGGTCCCCGGTCCCCCAACCTGTGGTTTCTCTACTTGTATAGAGTAGTTCCGCTCTGGTCCAGCAGGGGGCAGACATGGCGATGGAGAGGCTGCAGTGCTCGCTGGTTCCAGCAGGGGGAGCTACCGGTGGTGCTGGCTGGTGTTCGAGCTCCTCCTCTTCCTCAGTGGACAGCAGCGGCAGCAGGAGGAAGATGACTTCGTTACGGCCGTTTACCTGCGACGACCTGTTTAAATTCAACAACATGTGAGTCAGAACCGGTCCGGTAGAACCGGCCCGGTAGAACCGGGCAGAACCCGTCCGGCTGGTCCTGCCCGGACCGGGTCAGGCGGCTGGACTACCTTAGATTATCTGATCAATTCAAACATTGGGTTCCTTCAAACTAATGCCGAATTACCTTTCAGGCCCATCGGAACCATCTGGGTTAATGTTTGATTCCAGCCTGATGTTTCAATCGCTCATTTTACATAAAACCTTATTTTTAGCACAAATATGTTCAGAGTTCGTTAATGTTGACGTACTGGCCGTTTCCTCCCGTATTTGTGATCAATAATTCTTTTCCAGAAGCAGCAAAGTGATCAATAAAAGGAAATGTAACCATTAAATGTTTTTAATCTTTCAACAGAAACCTGGATCCTCTCACAGAAACTGTATCCTCCTCTGATCAGATTTTATTTCTGTCGTTTGGTTCATGTTTATATGACTCATATTTTAGAATTTAAGATTTATTATACTAAGTAGAAATAATTGCTTCCTGTTTATTGCCCTCTTAGATCCGCAGTGTCTGCTAAAGTATTCACACCCAGAAACCTCTCCATGATTTTCCCTTTCAACTGAAAAGTGTTATGTGACCAACATGATGTGTATAGTTTAGTGGAAGAAAAAAACATTTATGATTTTATTAGTTTTACAGATAAAATCTGAAGCGTTAAGTTTTATTCTGTAGTGGTAAAATTAGACACACTGCTGTCATCTCTAAATGATGCATGGTGGCAGCAGCATCATGCTGTGGGACAGGAAAGCCTGCAGGGGGGGCTCTGCAGGGTGTGTGACCCCTGAGTTGACTGAAAGCTGGACTTAATCCTGCAGGAGCCGGAGTGTGGATGAGTTTCACCTTCAGATGTTCAGAGCTGCTGGAGGCCAAACCCAGAGGGACTGAACACAAAAGCACTCCACACTTTTCAGATTGTTTCAACCATAAAAACCTTGAATTATTCCCCTCCGCTCCCCGGCCGTGCAGCCCTTTGCGTTGCTGTGCCCGTTTCCTCAGCCGGCCTGCAGTATGGGATCCCGTTCTACCTGCAGTACCTGGCCCACTGGCCCGAGTATTTCATCGTGGCTGAAGCTCCGGGCGGAGAGCTGATGGGCTACAGTAAGTGCAGCCTGGATTTCTGCTGCAGGACGCTGCTGCTGCGGCGCTGCTGCTGCTGCGGCGCTGCTGCTGCAGCATCATGTCTCTCTCTGTAATCAGTCATGGGGAAGGCGGAGGGATCGGTGGCGCGGGAGGAGTGGCACGGCCACGTCACGGCGCTGTCGGTGGCGCCGGAGTTCAGACGCCTCGGCCTGGCCGCCAAGCTCATGGAGATGCTGGAGGAGATCTCAGAGAGGTGAGTGACCTCTGACCCCGAGAGGCAGGCTCGGCAGAGTGTGTGTGACCCCTGAAGATGTGATCTTTGACCTGCAGAAAGGGCGGGTTCTTCGTGGATCTGTTTGTGAGAGTCTCCAACCAAGTGGCCGTCAACATGTACAAGCGTCTGGGCTACAGTGTCTACCGCACCGTCATCGAGTATTACTCTGCCAGCAACGGGGAGCCGGACGAGGACGCATACGGTACGCCACCCGACAGCGCCTTGCTTTGACTAGGCCGCAGCTCAACTCCGTCCTGATGGTCAGAACTGGAATAGTTCTGGATCTGCTGATCCGACTGAACCTGAGTTTTAACTCAGAAGCTTTTTCTGACAGCATTGACATCAGAATAATGACCTGGTATGGTAGAAAGTTCCAGCAGCAATGGAAAACAGAGTTATGACCACATGAGGGCGCTCTATACACAGAAAGGAACCTTAAGCCCCACCTGACACATTCAGAAATACTCCAAGATGGGCAGGGCGACACAGGGGGCGTGGCCAATGGGGAAAGGGGCGTGGTCAGGCCGAGAGAAAGCTGTTGCCAAGCAACATTGCTACAAAAAACCCAAACTAGCAAGTTTTTATAAGAAAGCTCCTGTAAACGTCCAAGTGACGTAGACGTCCACCACGCAGATTGTTAGAACCATAAGATTGAGCTGCAGTAGCACTGTTCAACCCACAGAGGGCAGCACTGAGAAGTCAGCTCACTGACATGAGCCCAGTTTCACATCGTCTCTGCGCTTCTGAAGAGTTCATTAAAGTTTAATGTGAATAAAATCTAAATTTATATTAGAAAATGTGTCACTTTAGGTGATGTTGTGTTTCCATCTGCTGCCTGGTTGGTTCTGGAGCACAGAACTGAACCGGTTAGTTCTGGCTGGGTCACCGGCCCGTTGGCTCTATAAAGAATAAAATAATCTGATCACTTCCTGGGTTTCTGCCCCTACTGGCTGTGTGGGATAAACATCTCCTGTCTTCCTGTTGGGTTAGAAAGCTTCCTGACCTTTAGGCTGCCGGCCGTTTCTTCTTCTACTGAAACACTTGAAAGGTGTCAGAAAGGCTTTTAGGTAGAAAACGTTTTTTATTGTTGTTCTGACTGGAGCACGGTTTTCCTGCAGACATGAGGAAGGCTCTGTCCAGAGACACGGAGAAGAAGTCCATCATCCCGCTGCCCCACCCTGTCCGACCGGAGGACATCGAATAACGTGGGGCCGCGGCTCCCTGACCCGCTGACCCCCGCTGACCTCAGAGAGCCGCTGGATGTACAAAATGTTTCAACATTTATTTGCTGTAAATTCTAATGAACGTTTGTTTCAGAAACTGAGTCTGAGTCGTGTCTCATACAGAAACGTCTACTCTTTGTCTTCCTCACTGCCCTGTTTCTTCCCTCCATCCTCATCCTCGCTCTCACTGCTGGTGCTGCTGTCGTCTCCATCGTCGTATGTTTTTCCACCGGGGCCTTGCCCTCCGGCGGTTTGTCAGGAGCTGCTGCCGGTTCCTCAGAGCGCTCTTCCTCCTGCTCTTCCTCCTCTGGAGGGTTTGCAGGATGCTCCTGCTCCTCCTCCTCATCTTCGTCATCCTTGGCCTGCTGCCTCTTCCACATCTTGGCCATGGCGAGCAGCTTGAGGTTGGGCTGGTTGGCGGCGTCCTCAGGGAAGATGTAGTCGTAGTATTCCTCCCAGCCGGCGTCCGACTGCAGAAAGATCAACATTAATAACCACAGAAGAAGAAGCTGCTTATAAGAATGACATACAAGGAGGATAAAGTAATAATCTGAGTTCTTATTGCTGCGTTAAATCGAGGAATGTAAATAAGAAAATATCTTCAGATCTGGAAACTACCAAAGTTTTCTTCTCATTAAAACAATTTTTCTTGTAATTTTTTGATTTTCTGGTAAAATGTTATTCTGCTAATATGATTTCTTTTTTATAATATGACTTTGTTCCTGTAATTAATTATTCTTTGAACTGAGAAAAGTGATGAGGGACGGATAAAGTTCCTGCAGCTCGGGACACCGACTCTCCTAACGCTCCAGAACCAAGCGGCCCATTTCCCAGCATTCCCAGTCTGTGCCGTTCTTACCCCGTCCTCGGCCGTCAGCTTCCT